GAGGTCTGCACTGCCGCTAAATCAGGCATACGAAGCTTTTGGTCTAGGCAAGACTGGCTACATACAAACGACGATAGACAAGCGTGACTGTCGCTCGGAAACTCATGGGCCGATTTACAGGACCAATCAGTTAATATCGTGTCCAGAACGATAATGCCTGATAGTGACATAAAAGTATAAAGCACTGTTTGTGGAATTGACCACTCTAAGGACCGCTATATAGCAGTAATTTGAATTATAATAGTAAAGGTTTCATCTATGTGATTAAACTGCCTATCCTATTCATCATCGAGCTAAATTTCTACGCTGTAAACCTATGCACATATTCACTAAAAACCTTTCTGACGACATTGAAGTATGAAGCCATAAACGTTACTGGACTGCTTTCGCTAGTGGTTCCCTCAAGTAATCAATTCTAATATTATATTGAATCATATAGAAATAATGTCCGTTTATTACAATCGGTCGTTTGTTCATGACACCGGCTCAACGATCGAAGTTCTATCCACGCGTTCACTATGAGACTAACTGTGCACTTCACTTTTCTCCTACATATAACACCAAACCATCGATTGAGAGAAGGCGCACGGTGGCTCTTGTGTGGCTGGATCTTGTAGTTTATACAAAGACGCGGTTTTGGTGGGCGAAGATCAAAGACAAGATTGGATTAGGTTCCCCCAGTTCTATCAAACGAAAGAAGACACCCTGCAGCCGTCGGCGGCAACAACAAGAAGACACAGGAAGCTACGCACGATGGCGTTATTTTACGCTACCGCCTAACTGTACTGCGATACAATCGCCGCTCACTCGATTTTGTGACGTTGTTTACAAAAAAAAAGTGTTGTGATTACTACAATCACGGCTGCTGCTGCGGATGCGTCTCCGCATTGCCCGAAGTTACTCAGTGACCATGGTTTCTACCGCGAAAGTGGTTGGCTCTGCTTCATCGCTGTTTGGTCTTCTACTCTTCTCGTAGCTAGTAGCAAGCAGCAGTCATAATAATAACTGACGTATTCTTTGAGATGCGGCCGTGTCTTAAGCGACTGAAAAATTCACGACTTCACGATTCGCTCGACGTAGCACCGATTGCCCCTCCGCCGGCCGACCGGCCGGCCGCTCCTCCTAGCGGAGATCGAATAAGAGAGGACGCGGGCAAAACGAAGACACCGAGAGTGTGAAAAAGTCACCGGACAAAAGGTGGAACGCTACGATGGCGCAGGAGCTCCCGCTTTCACCCAACGATGCCTTGACTTGGCGAGGTGACTGGGGACGAAACCTGGTAACAGTGCTATATCTACGTTCCAACACTTGTCATTTCTTTTTGTTAGCCTTCGTCCTTGTTTTCGAGGCAGACATAAGTACGTATTATCGACAATGAGGTTTTGTGGCGCCTTTCGAAGCACTCCCAACCGGCTACGCATTTCGGGGCGTTTAAGCATGGGGCAAAGTATATTGCTATCATTACTTGAATACTACTACTGCCGCCAGCCTACACGTCTATTTCGTAGTACCGTACGAGTATTGGTAATTCATGCACCGTGCGAATTCAGTGCACAGTGTACCTATGCGGTGCTACAGCGAAAGGGAATTAAGGATGGCCTGGACCTAGGCGTAACCGACCACTGGGACAAGCTGCCGGTTTTTGCTCTTATATATATATTCGCGGGCTAGTTGTTTCGCGTCGTAAAGCAAAACCTATTAGGCTCGTTTACTTATAGTGCAAGCGACGTTGACAAACGCACAGAACTTCGATCGAACAGGGTCTTGCTTGTTTCAAACCCATTAGCGAAATTTCAGAAGCATACACAGACCGCTCTCTAAGTACAGTCATTTAGTGCTGGTACGAAAATTAAGTATTCAAGCAGGTCTAAACAGGGCGCTAACATTTTTCACTATAGTATCAGTGCGTTGCAGGTGGTATTTTAGAGAACTTCGTGAATTCTTGTTACTGGTTTTGAAAATAATTATTCTCTTTTTAAATTAGGCCAACCTGAGGGAATAAGACAAGCAAATTTGGGTAAACCTATACAGACAGGGTGTCCTGTGTAACCTCACTGTATGTGATAAGTCTTGCGTTACGTAACGTTTCCTGGCACTTCCATTTCGGTAATCTTTAAATATCGAATACAGGCCGTATCATAAAGACCTTCACCGAAAGTAATTAACCGTTGATAATAGTGTTCCAGGGAATCATGTAGGTGCAACTGGAGTGCTTTTTTCGGTGTTTTCGAGTGTATTCGTTTGTCCTCGCGATGGCTCAGCTCGTAACGTACCTGCTTGCTAATTTACGTTGTGGCCTAGTTTCAAACCCGGGCATAGACACACGTTTCGTTACAACTTAACGGCGATACCGGACAAAAAAACTCGAAATACATAGGTGCCATCGTATTGCGGTCTATTATTAGTCCAAAAAGTCAATTCGTGATGAAAACCTGTGACTGTGCTAACTAACCGCGACAGTGAAATCGCAAAGCCCTTTTATTAAAGCAAACAAAAGTTTCGAATTATGGTTATCAAGTACAGTCTTGTCCTGAGTGAATTAGATACTATACATCGATTTGAATTAAGCCATCGTTTTCTCAGCTAGATCTGACGTTTCTTCTGAGGCAGTGTGTCATACAACAGAGTTTCTAGGTACGTTTGACCGTATGCCGACTGGAATTTGTAGCATTGTCCTTTTGTCCCATTTTACCATTTGGTTTGGTTCTACACTGCTTTTCTGTTGTTCTAGTTTTTCTGCGATCCGCGAATTTCTTCAACAGTTCTACCTCGATCGAAATATAGTCATCATTTCGGCTTTCTGGTTAAGGGAGACAGGATGAAAAGGTCTACCGTGCGACCTTTGCATTCTGCCCTAGTGGATTAGCCTTCTTGGACCACGTTGCTTGGAAGGGGCTAACGGTAGGTAGGCAGACAACGCTGTCTTGCAGAAATTCGGGCAGTCCAAGTACCCGAAGTGTTTCTCCCGTATAGCCAATAATTTGCCCAAAGATATGTATAGCTACTCGCACACATACAGATCCAAGAACAGACATCTCGGCAAGCTACCGACAGGCCGACAGCCTCTGTCGCTCTAGCGTGCCCTCTCGCCGCTGCGCCTGGCAACGCCGGCACAGTCACTATGAGAAGACACTCACTACGCTGCCGGTTGTCCCGATGACCAACGAACGAGTCAGCCAGCCAGAGCTGCAAAATCCAGAACATAATTCAGCAGCAGTCCATCAGGAACAGCTAGAGCCGGATGGCTAAACAGTCCCTTGTTCGTTCGTTCGTTCCGTCGTCCCTCTACGGGCGTGTGTGAACGAACAGTAGAAGAGGACGTTAGCGGAAAAGAGATGGAGCCGCTCCAAGACGCAACGGATTCCTGTGTATAGCTCACTTCCCCGCAGCCTTACCCCTCGCAAGGCTTCACAACGCTTCCCCCGTGGTAGACGAAGTGCTGTAGGGAAGAGAGCCAGTTAGCGGCGGAAAAAGGCGGAGAAAAGGGAGCACAGAAGAAGAGAAGAAGAAGCTGCCTGATGTAGTAATGGTTTTGGCGGCAGCAGTGCCGGTTGTGTACGGAGCGGCTGCATTGATCTAACTAGCAAACTGGGAGCGAGCAAGCGTTGGACCGAAGGACCGGCAGAGCTCGAAGAAGCTCTGGGCTTTTAGCCTGGAGCTGCTTTGGCCAAAGGCTTGCGGCGAAGCCAGCTGCTCGACTGTCCAGCCCGACTGTTGTCCGAAAGCCCGCCCTACCGCTCTGCGGCATACTGAGTCACACGGGCTGGGCGGTATAGCGTAAGTAGAGCCTACATAAGAGCTGAGGCATTGCACGGCAGCATAGCGCAGAGACGTCGTGTAGCAGCGCACTCACAAGCAGGCGTACACGCGCAGAGACTTTTTTTCTCTCCTTCTCAACCTCTCTCACACAGAAAGATCCGACACAGCCACATCAGCCGGCGGCACACATCATCGCACGCGTATTGTGCCGTGCGAGGAAGGCTTCCTGGTCCTCAGGGAGTAGTTCCTGGCCCAGAGAGCCCAGCGGCAACGGCAGTGGCCCCGGTCGGTCGGCCAATTCTAGCCTTAGCTAGCAGCAGGGCCGACGGGGTTTCAGCTTTGGGGGAGCCAACCAACTCTGGGGGATCGGCAGATAGGGACGCCTAGGGGAGTGTAGCTCGGGTCGGTTGCGAGGGGCCCTTGGGAACAGCGTTCGCTGGCTGCATCTACCGCTGCTGCTGCTGCCGCCGGCACCGCCATCGAGAGCTATCTAGCTGCAGCTGCGATGGAACTCTGTCCTTTTGGTAGGGGCAATCGTATCGAGGACCTTGAGTAGGCTTCGGGCCAATGGCCACTGCGAATCGGACAGTGAAGGAGACAATGTACTATGCTGCTCACCCCGAGCGAGAAGGTGCTAAGAGCATAGAACAGAAAGAGAACAAGCGAGACAGGCAAAGCTTAAAGACGCACAGATTATATGGAAGCTCTGAGCCGAAAACGATGAGGCCAAGCAACGCTAATAAAGGTTGGCTTTTAGCATGTGTGCAAGTGTATAGAGGACGTTTGCATTCATCTATCCTATGCATGTACATCGACCAGAAAGTCATGGCTACAATCATCATTGTAACGCTTAGCTGCAGACGCAACTGTTTCCATAGCGTTCACTCTACACTACATATAAAGGTACCCTTAGAACTATCGTCAGTAGACTGTCCAGCAGTCATAACAGATACTTCCACACTGACTGTAATATAGGTATTCAAATGCAGGAGTGGGACACTCGTGTGATTTGAACTAAAGCATAACAGCAGAGGCAATCTGTAAGAATGGTAAGAATGTATGAAATAAGTACACTTTGTAGTATTTAAAATTCGGCCAGACTCTAATCAAGGGAGCCTGCGCTGGCAGACTCAAAGACACACAAAGCTGATGTGAGGAGCAATTTCTAAGCAGTCCATATTATGGCTGGGTCGTTTCTGTGTTGCCTTTGTTTTCTGTCTTACTCTGTGTTGAAGTTGCAGTCGAGGAGGGCGTCTATTCGGTGCCATCAGCCGAGGACTCGTCCGAGAAGATGGTGGTATCCGTGTCTGCTGGGGATCTCGTTCTGTTCGAATCCGACCAAGATGAGAATAGTGAGTACTATATGTTAAAATTTAGCCTCATCTTGCTATATACATAATGAGCGAGTCGGGGTCCAGCGCTGCTGTGCTTGACATTGGCCTGACGATTATATATATATATGCAATGTTTATTACTGAAGCAAACCTGTTTTCCGGATGCCTTTTTTACTGAAAGATAGTATATTAGGAATACCTGAGTCATATCAGAGTGGCACCCGCAAATTTTTCGAGTACCATTTTGACATCTGCTGTGCCTTTGTGTGCGTCGACAAGTACTAGACCTACATGCTCAGGATGTTGTATTTGGAGATGATGATAATAATAATGATGCATGTAACCGATATTTTTTTCCTAAGATAGCGTACATGAAGGCACCTAATTCTAATGTGGCCCGCAGCGGGTCGTGATTTAAGCCTACAACTAGGACTTTCTTAGCATTTCTCATATCTTATGCTATTATATCATGCACTATGTAAATGCTTGAGATAATAGCTTTAAATGATTGAAGTTTGCAGTCCGTTGTACAAACAGCTCATCTATATTGGCTAATTTTATTTTTTGATGTCCTTATCTCTGTATCTCCTAACTGGAAGGACGCACTCTGCCGGGAAGTTGCAGTCGAGAACACACGTTTTCAAGCAGAACCTCATAACATTTGTCGACTATATTGAAATAACTATCCATATAAGATTCAATCCCTGCAAGATCTCATACTAGCAATGTAGAGGGCTAACAGTCTCGTTCATAGGCGTAAACCGTTTCAAGCTTATCTTACCACGTCTCGTTATTAGGGTTGTCGTTGGCGGCATCTGAAAATTAGGCGGTCAACATTTGTTCAATCTCTTTAATGTTGTTGATGGTAACAACGAGTATATTATCTCAGAATATTTATAACGACATTATACATGGTCGTTACAATATCCATCTATTTAATACCATTGCTTTGCCTTAGCGATTTCTAGACGCCACGAACGTCGCGGAATAGGGCAAACTTGTACGTTCTCGCTATAATTTACAATCGAACAGAGGGAAATTTTAATTCGGTTTAACATGACGCGTCTTATATAAAAGTCCAGCTGACTGAAACAGTCCGCTCTGTGGGAAGCAGTTCGATGGCGTCGCCCACCATTTGTACGTGCAAATTGTTCAAGTTGCCTAACTTGGTTATTTCTTTCTCTCAACTTACTTCCTTCGTTCTCCTGCATGTGCTAAATAATAAAAATAACTAAAAACTTAGCTCCCATCTACTGTTATGAACGCCCCAGACCGATTGAAACAAAGAAGCCGATTCCTCTTCACACTATGGAACCATACTGACTGCGCGCTTTTTGCATCGGTACTCGGCGCCTTCGATGCTGAGTACGTGAGCGACGTCGACCGACCGATGGATAGTGTTTTGCTAAAACAGTGTTACAGGAGACAAAAAACAAGAATAATACAGCGCGTTTCTCCGCTTGAGAAGAAGTCGACGAAAATTGATTTTTATCAAATGTCAATTTTTGGGTTTTTGTTTGACTGTTACCGTGGTGCGGCGCTGCTCACAGAACACGTCGAAGAATAACAATGTTTGTCGGCTCTCCCTTCACCGCTGTTTTTCTCTCAGTCGTTCGCCAAAGATCAGCGCACGAACTGTAGTCACACAACGCAGCTTCGCTCAACCCCAACACAATAGAAGACAAACAGATCCACAAGTACACGCAACCCGCTTGACGTAAATGAGTAGACGGCAGCCGGCGCAAGGCCGAAGTATGAAAGAAGGAAGCAGCAGTAAAACGATAAGGGCATCATACGTATACCAAAGTCCGCGTAACCCTTCGCAGCTACAAGTTTATGTCGGATATGCAATGTATGCTTTAGCGGTATCTTCATCCTGAATCACAGCCAACTTTGCCGCCGATTTATGGGAGATATTCATATGAAAGATAATGCGAGAGGACGCAGACGTGCGATTGAAATTGCTTGAAAATTTTAGTAAAATGATTGACCTTACAAGCAATAGTGCAGTAAAACCTCTAATAACTAAATTACAAGATTTGAATTCACCAGATCGTATTACGTGTCCTTTGAAGAAAAAAAGAAACAGTTATAGTACGACTTCTATTGGTGGAACTCTTTCCGGACCTGCTCCCTTTCCGGTGTTAGGACAGAACAAGGTCATAAAAGCCTCCTTAAAGCTGGCAAACTCCAAACATGAACTCAGCTTAGCAATGAAAAGAGAAGGAGGACTGAAGAGAAGTGGGAAAATGACCTGAGGGGTCAAAAAAGATTGGCTCTGAGGACCAAAGAGGCGAACTATGAGATGCTAAAGAAAAAGCGTTTTTCTGACAATCAGGCTGCACTGCCAGCAACGGAACTGCAGCCACAGGCTGTGGTCGTCGTAGGAATAGAAAAACAACTAGCAGCTGTAGGTTCAGCAACTGCGGTAATGCCTGTCACTGAGAATAAACTTCTTCTCGTCTTACCACTTTTTGAAAGAGAAATAAGAGAGTTTGCAGTGGATGCCCGTTGCGACGGTACGAAGTGTCAATGTGGACCGTAAAGACCTTTCTTACAGCAACTAGGCCGGTGGCTGGGGCGGCTGGTTGACTGACTGGTTCGCCAATATATTCGGCGCGTCGTTCGTTTGGGGGCGTGGACAGGTGCAATAGGGGGGGAGAGGGAGGGGAAGGGGCGAGAGGGAGAAAGAGGCAAGGAAAAAAGTGGCCGGCTAGGTCGTTCACGAGTTCATCCCAGCAAGGCTTTTCGAGTGCATTAGCATTGGTCAAGAATGCAGCGATGCTGCTTTGTGTGCGGGCTGCGAGCCCATTTGGCAGAAGGACTGGCGTTGTCCACGCAGTTGCCATCGCTGGCCACCGCTCAGTCAGTTCTGTTAGACGTTCTCAGGTTATTATTCGGTTTGTGCATTGCGTTTCACTGGGCGTGCCTACGCCTTTCAGAGGTGCTGAGTCGCTAAGGGCTCGATACGCTGCACTTTGAGCCGCTGAGTGGTCTGCGTCGGCCAACGAGTGCAAGTCAGAAAGCCTGCCAGCCATCTAGCTAAGTCTATCTACGTAAGTGAGGTCCAGTGCGGTGTCGTATGTAAAAAGATCTGCTTAGTTAGAGCGAACAGAGCTGACTGGATGACACAGACGCTCGTTTTCGCAAGCCGTGCGATAGGAAGGACCGTACGGAAAGTCCTGAGGCAGTGGTTGTCAACCAGGGCGGCTAGGTGTAGTCGAGTATACACTGGGAAATGCAGTAACTCAGGAAGACGAGTCATGGACGTCGAAGGGCCTCGGGAGGGCCGGGTTAAGCAGCGACGAAAAGAACGGCAAGACCGAGCCTCCAGGCAGCATTCTACCTAGAGGCTTGTCTGAAATTAGGCGAGTTGCCTTACGTTTGCAGGCTCCCAAGAGGCACTAGGGCCGTGGTGCGTCCAACCAGGCGCTGTCCAACCGCTGCCGCCGTGCCTTATCGTCTATGCCAGCATGAATACGCCAAACGGCCACCGGGGTCCAGAAGGCTGGCTGGCAAGTAAACTTTTTGACAGCGGAGCCCGAGCAGTTGATTTACTTTTTCATGATGCATAACTGCTGGCCTTCAGCCCAACATTGCAAGTGCCGAACATACAGCTACACGCACATCCACCGCACGCACAAGTGTAGGCACTATACCGCTAAAAGCGCGAAAAAAAAAGAGAGCCAGCGACGATCGTTGCTGCTGCTATTGCCGCTGCAGAAACAGCAGCAAAGTGGGGTTGACCTCCGGGAAAAGCAATTTGCGATAGTGAGCTACTCGATGACGAAAATAGGCGCTGTCCGGAGCGATCTGCGGACGATGCAGGTCATATGGCGGCCTTATCCAACTTGCGTCTACATGCCACGATTTCTGACCCACAGTGATGACGGCGACCTCTGAAGCTCCACAGCGCACATTATGTCGGCTTTCGACAGTGATGCCAGCAGCTTCACACGCGTTTGCTATCGTACTCCGTATGTGGGCTACTGAACAGCAGCAGTAACAATATAGGTCTGCATGTCTGTTGACGATCCCGTATCTCGCATGTTTTTAGTTATTCAACACAACATAGGGCTCTATAAACGCTCCTCCAGGGCTCCGGGCAACAGCATCTAATACCTATTCTTTTTTTTGTAAATCAGCTGACATAATTGCAAGGTTCTTCTTCAGCACGTCGCGATAGCAGAGAGCTGCAAGATTGATTTCGATACCCGTCGTCATACACTTTTTTCAAGACAGCCTGTTAGTCAATCAGGGTATCATCTATTCCATATCCTTAGGATGTATATTGTTCATTCGTATGCGATTTGCCGCTTGCATCTTGTCTTCCCTGGTGCTGTATAGGCGTTATAATATTGAGCAGCCCGATCTTTGAAAAACTTTGCAGACCTCTCTGACTGTACGTAGCGCCCTTGCGTACGTCGATTTTCAAGTTCATTCCTCTGAGACCTCTAGCTCGAATGAGCACAGCAGCGTCGATAAGCTGCTTTCGGTATTGCTCGCCTTGGGACTACGAATCTCAAGAGAGTCTACAGAATATTCTATGAGCAAAGTATCTGAAGATGGCAAACTTTGCCTGGCGCGTCGAATTTTCCGTCTTACTTCTTTCATGAACGTTACGTCCAATCTACGTAATGACCAGCAATACTTACTGAAGTTATACCTACCATTTAACTGCATCATGCGATGAGCATATATCAGGGACAACATCTAAATTTAACCTTTTCACAATCACAATTAAGCTAACCTTAATCTATTCACAGAGAAAACTCTACATAAGGAGACACCGTCACCCGGACGCACAGCGGCGTATACATATATGTATATATACAAGTAGGCGAAGATACCTGTAAGAACATTTTCATTTATTTGGTTGTACTGAGTGTATATATTGAAGTGACCTGACGGATTTGACATGATTGGGCATTAAATTGTTGACGGAATCCATTAAGTAAACATCCGCTCGTTAGTCGTCCTATTCGTAATAGCGGCTTCTATTTCCTCCTTCTGACTAT